TATCAATACCTTAAAATAAGTACATGAGTAATCCTGAGTACTCACTTATCAATAACTTTAAATAAGTACATGAGTAATCCTGAGTACTCACTTATCAATAACTTTAAATAAGTACATGAGTAATCCTGAGTACTCACTTATCAATAACTTTAAATAAGTACATGAGTAATCCTGAGTACTCACTTATCAATAACTTTAAATAAGTACATGAGTAATCCTGAGTACTCACTTATCAATACCTTAAAATAAATACATGAGTAATCCTGAGTACTCACTTATCAATAACTTTAAATAAGTATATGAGTAATCCTGAGTACTCACTTATCAATAACTTTAAATAAGTTCATGAGTAATCCTGAGTACTCACTTATCAATAACTTTAAATTAGTATATGAGTAATCCTGAGTACTCACTTATCAATAACTTTAAATAAGTATATGAGTAATCCTGAGTACTCACTTATCAATAACTTTAAATAAGTATATGAGTAATCCTGAGTACTCACTTATCAATAACTTTAAATAAGTATATGAGTAATCCTGAGTACTCACTTATCAATAACTTTAAATAAGTATTTGAGTAATCCTGAGAACTCGCTTATCAATAACTTCAAATAAATACATGAGTAATCCTGAGTACTCACTTATCAATAACTTCAAATTGTCATGGTGGGTGGCAGTTTCTTGACCCACGACATGCAGAATCACAACACTGAGAACCGGTGAGTACGTAAAAACGTCTTTATTATTAGATGAAGAGTAACGGGAAAACCAGGAACAGATGCAGTGCAGCACTGGCAGCAAGATCCCAGGAGGAGATTCTGATGAGGGAGACAGAGTGAGTGTTTGGTGGGAATGACGGAGGATAATCTTAAGAAGGGAGCTTACTGATTGTAGGTAGTGGTTAGAGGCTCAGGGAGGGCTAGGTCAGGTCCAGGTGAGCAGGAAGGATCCAGAAGGTGAAGCAGCTGTTGAACCAGAGGGGAGGTAGGAGCAGAGGTTTGGTGCGAGCAGGTGAGCGGCTGAGAGCGGGCGGTCAGGGGAGGAGACAGCGTGATCTGGTTTGCAGGAGTCCAAGCTGGTTATGGAGATGGTGGGTTGTGGAGCGAAGCCCGGAGCAGAGCAGGGAAGAGTAGTCAGGGATTTCTGGCGACAGGAAATCCAGCAAAAATTTATGGAATCAAACAAGCGCACAGGAACTAGAAAAACACGAGATCGAGACAGGTAAAAGGCTGGAGCTACCCAAACAGAGTAATCATCCGGCGAAGTGAAGTGTCACACTGCTCCTTAAATCTCTTGGACCTTGATGACAGGATTAGCTGCAGCTGGAGACTCTCAGACACGCCCACCTGAAACAATGCTCAGAGGACAACAGGGTTACATGCAGGAGGCTCACCACAGACCGTGAAAGTAACCCCCCCCCCCCCCCCCCCCCTCCGCCCAACGGACACCACCAGGCGGCCGAGCAGAGGAGGAGGAGGCGGAGGAGGAGGAAGCCCGAGAGGCCTTGAAGTCTCTGATGAGATCCGGATCAGTGATGAAGGAGCAAGGCACCCAGGAACGATCCTCCGGACCATACCCCTCCCAGTCCACCAGGTACTGGAGGCCCCTGCCTCGAGGACGGACATCGAGGAGACGACGGCCCGGATAGACCAGGCCACCTCCGACGAGCCGAGCAGGTGGAGGAGGAGTGGGAGCAGGACACAGGGGGCTGGACAGAACAGGCTTTATCAGGGAGACGTGGAACACTGGATGGACTCTCATGGACGGGGGCAAGGCCAAACGGACAGTGGAGGGGTTTATGACGTCAGTGATGGGATAAAGACCAATGGACCGAGGAGCTAATTTCTTGCTGGTGTCTTTTAGCCGGATGTCCCTGGTGGAGAGCCAGACCTTCTGCCCAGGGACATATACAGGAGCGGGTCGTCTGTGGCGATCCGCCAGGCGGCGATTGCGTTCAGCTGTCCTTTGAAGAGCCGCCGTAGTCTGAGCCCAGGTGCGCCTGGCACGGCGAATGAACTGGGGGGGCTGTGATAGGACGGTCCTGATTGGATGGAAATAGAGGGGGCTGGTAACCTAGAACGGTTTCAAATGGGGACAAACCTGTGGATGCGGAGGTGTGAGCGTTGTGGGCATATTCAACCCAGGGCAGTTGGGAACTCCATCCAGAGGGGTTGGATGAACACACACATCTTAACATGGCTTCGAGCTCCTGATTCATACTCTACATTGCCCATTGGTCTGAGGATAGAATCCGGAGCTCAGGGCGACACGGGCCCCCAGGTGGTTGGCGAAGTCTCTCCATACGTGGGACAGGAATTGAGGGCCAAGGTCAGACAGGATCTCTGCTGGAATACCATGAAGACGGAAGACATGTTTGATTAGTAGATTGGCAGTTTCGGCAGATGAGGGGAGAGACTTGAGAGGAACTAGGTGACAGGACTTGGAGAAACGATCAACAATAGTGAGAATGACTGAAAAACCAATAGAGGAGGGCAAACCGGTAACAAAATCCAAGGCTATGTGGGACCAAGGGTGAGTGGGTACCGGAAGAGGGTTGAGAAGGCCAGCTGGAGGTTGATTACTGCATTTGTTTCGAGCACAGATGGAACAGGCACTGATGTACTCACTGACATCTTCATACATGGAGGGCCACCGGACGGTTCTGCGGATGAGAGCTAACGTGCGACCGATTCCAAGATGAATAGAGAATTTAGCAGTGTGGGCGTAATGTATCAGGTCACCACAAACACGGGTAGGGACATAAACCTTTTGTGGTGGACCAGTGCCTGGATCGGGTTCAGTCTGCTGGGCCTCCTGAACCCTTTTTGTGATGTTCCAATCTACAGCGCCCACGATGCAGGACGGTGGCAGAATAGGAGCATATTCAGGATCCTTGTCGGGTGAGTACAGTCTGGACAGGGCATCAGGTTTAGACTTTTTGGAACCGGGTCTGAAAGAGATGAGAAAGTGAAAACGAGAGAAAAACAGGGACCAGCAGGACTGTCGGGGATTTAATCTTTTTGCTTCTTGGGTTTGCCAAGTTTTTATGGTCGGTCCAGATCATGATGGGGTGTTCCGCTCCCTCCAGCCAGTGTCGCCACTCCTCTAGAGCTAATTTAATGGCCAGCAGTTCCCAATCCCCAACACCGTAGTTCCGCTCAGCTGGGGGGAGGCGGCGAGAGAAGAAGGTGCATGGGCTGAGACGGTGATCTGAGGGGGAAACCTGTGACAGCACAACACCAACACCAGAGTCTGAAGCGTCAACCTCCAGGGTAAACTGGGCGGAAGTATCGGGACGGGTCAGGATAGGTGCTTGCATGAACTTGTCTTTTAGGGCTTGGAAGGACTCTTCAGCAGGAGAGAACCGACTTGACTTTTTCCAGATCCGTCTTCAACCGCCCGCTCTCAAGGATGAAACCGAGGAACTTAACTGAAGAGACATGAAACTCACATTTCTCTGCCTTAACATAAAGCCGGTTATCCAGGAGGCGTTGAAGTACGCTTCTAACATGTCGTCGGTGTTCTGCAGGGATCTGGAAAAGATTAGAATGTCATCCAAATAGACAGTAACAAACTGGTTGAGGTAGTCGCCAAGCACAGAATTGACCAGGGATTGAAATATTGCAGGAGCATTTGTGAGACCGAAAGGCATGACTAAGTATTCGAAATGACCCACAGGAGTTTTAAACGCGGTTTTCCATTCATCACCTTCTCTGATACAGACGAGATGGTAAGCGTTGCGTTGGTCCAGTTTTGTGAAAATGGTAGCATCTTGGACTGGTTCAAATGTGGATGACAGTAACGGAAGTGGATATTTGTTTTTTATGGTAATCTGGTTGAGACCTCTGTAGTCAATGCATGGTCTAAGTGAGACATCTTTCTTAGAGATGAAAAAGAAGCCTGCCCCCAGTGGTGAAGTGGATGGTCTGATGATACCGGATGCAAGGGATTCATTAATGTAGGTGGACATGCTGAGCTATTCAGGTTTGGAAAGGTTATACAACCTGCTGGATGGGAGTGTGGCGCCTGGCAGGAGATCGATAGCGCAGTCGTAAGGTCGGTGAGGAGGTAGAGAGGAGGCTCGGTCCTTACTGAACACAAGGGAGAGGTCATGGTACTCCTCCGGCACTCCTGACAGGTCGGGGGAACCGGGGAATTGGATGTTGGTGCTGAACAGATAGGTGAAGCAGAACAAAGGCAATTAGTTAGACAGTGGGTACTCCAAACAGTAACCTGGGATGTTTTCCAATTTATTTGCGGGTTATGATCCACCAGTCAATCATATCCTAGGACTACGGGGGAGTGAGGAGATGGAAAAACAAAAAACATGATACTTTCCTGGTGGTTGCCTGACACCAGTAAGCTGACTGGCACGGTCTGGTGGGTTATAGTAGTGAGGGTGTTGCCATCCAGGGATGATGCTCGCAGAGGAGTCGGAAGGGGAACAGTGGGGATGTCCAGATCTTGAACGACTGATTGGTCCAGCATGTTACGTTCGCATCCAGAATCCAACAAGGCCTTCAACACACGACTTCTTTGATTACACATGACTGTACAGGAAAGCATACATTGGGAATTTGAACCACCATTACCACCCACCAGTAATCCCGGAATTACTGGTGGGCTTGCCTTTTTAACCGCAAGCCACAACCTGAGATTCTGTGCCCCGGCTGACCACAATATAGGCAAAGGGTGACTGCAAAACGACGTTGCCACTCCCCCTGGCTTAACTGGGTTCGGCCCATCTGCATAGGCTCGTCTCCAGAAGATGATGCGACGGGTGGCTGAGAAGTTCTGGTCTGAGTTAGTGGTGGAAATGACATTCTAGAGCCCTTAGAACGCTCCTTGAGACGTTTCTCAGTCTTTAAGGACAAGGCTATAAGAGCTTCCAGGTCGGGGGGGGGGGGGGGGGGGGGTCTTGGCATAATGCCAACTGATCATGGAGACGGTCATTTAATCCCTGAGTGAATGCCCTGAGTAGTGACCCATGATCGAGGGAGGCAATTGCTTCCAGCGTGCATAACTCTATTGCGAAATCGGCTACAGTTTGATTTCCCTGACGGAGATTCCACAATCTCTCGGCTACCTCAGCTGGGGATTCTGAACGATCGAAGGTTTGCTTAAATTCAGTTAGGAATCGTGAGAGCGGACCGCGCAGAAAACCGGTGTCATGGCTCCTGGCTCAGCCCAATCTAAAGCCTTGCCATGGAGTAGCCCGATAATTAGAGCTGAAACAACTAATCGATTTAATCGATTATAATCGATTATTAAAATAGTTAACAACTTTTTTAGTCATCGATTAGTTGTTTAATAATCATATTTTACCGCATAAAGTCTATTTTTACCACAATCTGACATCGGTTACAAGCTGTTAAATTTGCCGCCAGTGTGTGGCAGTAATGAGCCACTGATCTACCAGTGGAGCCGTAGAAGAAGAAATGAGCCAATGAGTGCCCTCGGTTTTCATGACGTATCACGTTACTGACGCTCATCTTGCTGTGAGAGATGGCGGAACAAGAGGAAATACGGAAGAAAATAGAAGCGACAAAACTTTAGAGAAACCCCGGACAAAAACCTCACGAGTATGGGAGCACTTCAGTCTAGATGCCTTGAAAAGGCAAAATATGCAAAAACCATCTAGCATGGCACGGAAGCACGACGTCCCTAAGTGAACATTTGAGACGAAAACGTGGGGGCTGAGGAAGAGCACCGCGGTCAAGTGAGCCGTCATTTGGAAGAGCCAGCCCGGTAAGTAACAGAAAATAAACAAGCTGGACTTAGTGTTTTAGCTGAGTTCGTTATAGTGGATGTTAAACATGTTTTTTTGTCGCGTCAGTCTACGGTGTTCTACTTCTGATTGACTAGATGCAATCGTGAATCTCCTCCGTGTTGTGAATCATGCGCTTGCCAAATTTAGCACGTCTGTTTATAAGAATGTTCTAGTTAAGAGAAAAACGGCACAAACCCATAACTATGTTCCTCATTCAAAAAAGGACAACTCTGCGGTGAAAAATATACAGACGAGCTGTGTCCAGGTGAATATAACGCGGCATAGTTGTACGCTTTCAATTTTTAAATACAGGAGAAATTCAGAAAAAGTCATTTTTTTACTATTAAAAGGCTGTTTTACTGTCTAACGCTGTAAAACGCCTCACAACACATTTTTATCATGTTTCTTAAACAGTATTACACAAAATAAACATTTTTCACATTTCTCTAGCTAATTTAAACACTCCCGACTCAAAGTAAAAACCTCATGAGCTTCTTACTCTGAGCTTTTTAATAGTAAAAAAATTAGACTTTTTTTCTTAATATCTCCTGTTGCGGGCTATTTTGTAGAACGTAACCCTCAAAATAAATGATCACTGTATATTGTTAATTAATTCAAATAATTTAACATTGATTTAGTGTTGTAGTGTGTGTGCTGCTTTATTTTATATGTGTACTTATTTCAGTCTATTTGTGTTTCTTATGCAGAAAAAAACAAGCAACGATGGACAACTACATGGGGAACAAGACACTCACCCCCCAGCAATTCATACCACTTACAAACTCTATTCTAAACATGCTGGTAAAAGACATGAGGCCACTATCCATGGTGGAAGGAGCAGGCTTCCAGCTAATGCTAAAAAATTATTCTGGACTGATATTTTGCACTGTTTAGCTCATTTTCTACTGCTGACTGTGTTCATGTGCAATAAAATAGATTGCAGTCAACTGCACAATTCTCTTATGTTTTTTTTTCTTAACTGAAATGCATCCATCACTTGTATAGGTTAAATAGCTAAACAGTAACAAACCGATTAATCGATTAATCGAAAAAATAATCGACAGATTAATCGATTATGAAAATAATCGTTAGTTGCAGCCCTACCGATAATATAAGAAATTTTCACTGAATCTAAAGTAAAAGCTTCAGGCGATCTCTCAAAAGCTAACTGGCAATTGAATAGAAACCCACAGCATTTGCCAAACTCACCGGAATAGGTGTCTGAAGGAGGAGAGTTAGGTATCCGGAAGTTTACAACAGGAGGCGGAAAGTGCGGACGGAGGAGAAGCTGGAGGCTGCTGAACTGAAGGTTCCGGAGGAGTTGATTTAGTAGTGAGGTTGCGTAACATAGTCTCCATCTGGAGTAACCGTCGGTGAGTCGGAAAATTGTTCCAGTAAGCCATGGATGGCGTGTTCATGGCGTGTGAGTATATCTGAGACAGCAAGCGGAACGTTAGTGGACGGATTGGATTCTGCAATGGAGTCAACGTTATGGCTGGATAATTCTGTCATGGTGGGTGGCAGTTTCTTGACCCACGACATGCAGAATCACAACACTGAGAACCGGTGAGTACGTAAAAACGTCTTTATTATTAGATGAAGAGTATCGGGAAAACCAGGAACAGATGCAGTGCAGCACTGGCAGCAAGATCCCAGGAGAAGATTCTGAGGAGGGAGACAGAGTGAGTATTTGGTGGGAATGATGGAGGATAATCTTAAGAAGGGAGCTTACTGATTGTAGGTAGTGGTGAGAAGCTCAGGGAGGGCTAGGTCAGGTCCAGGTGAGCAGGAAGGATCCAGAAGGTGAAGCAACCTTTGAACCAGAGGGGAGGTAGGAGCAGAGGTTTGGTGCAAGCAGGTGAGCGGCTGAGAGCGGGCGGTCAGGGGAGGAGACAGCGTGATCTGGTTTGCAGGAGTCCAAGCTGGTTATGGAGATGGTGGGTTGTGGAGCGAAGCCTGGAGCAGAGCAGGGAAGAGTAGTCAGGGATTTCTGGCAACAGGAAATCCAGCAAAAATTTATAAGATCAAACAAGCGCACAGGAACTAGAAAAACATGAGATCGAGACAGGTAAAAGGCTAGAGCTACCCAAACAGAGTAATCATCCGGCGAAGTGAAGTGTCACACTGCTCCTTCAATCCCCTGGACCTTGATGACAGGATTAAGCCTGGTTTATGCTTCTCCGTCAGCTCCACAAGGGACAGACACACACGGATTGACGGAAGCGTGTTGCTCTCATACTTCTCCGTCTCCTGGAGAGTGTTGTAAAGCAATTGCCCGGCAGGACAGCAGAGGGCGTAGCGCTGTTCTGTGGTATCCTGTCATGTATCGGTCCAAGGTCGTGTGTTTATATTGTGTTTTTTGTGTATATAAGAGACTTTTAACACGGACATATTTGTCTCTCATCCTCCCACCTCTTCATGCGCTCCCCACCTCTAAACCCACGTTTCCTGTCATTTCCGTCCACAAATAAAATGCTTGCTGCGCATCTTTTCACTCCTCCAGTCACGGGAGAATTAAACGTTCATATTTTTAGAGTTTTTTGGCGAGGTATTCTTCAAGCTTCTCCGTGTCTGCCGCTAGTTATCCTCGGCTCTCTGCAATGGCGGCGCTGTAAACAACAGCGGCGTCCTGACCAATCACAAGCTTGCGTAATCCGTCTCGTTCGACGGATGTTTAAAAAAGTGGGCTCGACTCCGTACGTACTTGCGTGCCTGCCGGAGCCCTACGCGAGGATGGATAATGGAGTTGCGTGTCTCCGCACTGACGCAGACGGAGAAGCATGAATCAGGCTTTAGCTGTAGCTGGAGACTCTCAGACACGCCCACCTGAGACAATGCTCAGAGGAAAACAGGGTTACATACAGGGGGCTCATCATGGACCGTGACACAAATAAGTACATGAGTAATCTTGAGTACTCACTTATCAACTTAGAAAATAAATATGAGAATATCTTTAGTTTCTGAGTATGGAAAAAATGACATTCAATGCCCTCTTATCAGCAGATTTAAACAGAATTCATCTCAGTTTATGGGACCACAAAAGTAACTGGAGTACTAAGTCTCCTAACAAAGACCAAACAACAGACAAAAGTGCACCTCAAACCTGTAACATGCCAAACTGACCTGTATTGAATGTGTACTGTGTGAAGTGCTTTGAGACGACTCTTGTCGTGGTTTGGCGCTTTATAAATAAACTTGAATTGAACATTTGAGTTCTTGGAATCGATTCTGAACCTTTGTGAATCGATTCTGAATCTGTCATGATCCTACCATGCCCTGACCTCCATGCACCATCATTCACCTCATCAGCCTTCATGCAGCACACCTGGTCCCCTCATCAAGCTCATGCCACACACCTGCCTCACCAGCTATATATTCCTCAGTCAACCACCAGTACTCTGCCAGATTATTGAACGCTCACACCAGTAAATTCTCCAGCACTCTGACCTCTGCCTGTATCATAGCCTCCTGACCTCGTTTCCACGCCTGACCCTTGCCAAGGACTCTGCCTGCCACCACGACCTTCGCCTGTCCGCGACCATGTCTCTAGCCTGTATCTGTACCTGCTTCGCCTCGATCTGGTTTTGACCCAAGCCCGTCTTCGACTCTGAGCCTACCTGAGTATCACTCTGGTAACACCTCCTCATGGCTCCTGGCTAATAAAGACTGTTAAAGCGTCTCACTGTGTTTGGTGTCATCACGGGTCCCCTAGTTCAGTTCATGACAGATTCTTTATAAATAAGAATCCCGATTCAGACTTGAATCGATTTTTTCTGCACCTCTTCTAACCAGGTGTCTGTAAACATTGATGGCCATAAAGCTTTACTGTTTCTTGCAAGGTAGTACACAACTTTGTGAGACTTCATGTCTCTGGTTCAGAGGCTCAGGCTGCAAACTGCCCACAAGGACGGGAGAGAGCGAAGAGACTTTTCCTTCACCCTCTACAGAAGTGTCCTCAATAGGCGGCCCGTGGGCCACACACACCTCCACTCCAGTATGTTTACAAGTGCATGGTACCCACGGGTCCAGGTCACGGGATGCAGCAACCAACACCGCCGCCTTTGAAGCAGCCTGTCACCACTCTCAGTCAGCTGATGGCCGACGTCACGCGGTTGCACCATGAGACCTCAGAGAGGTGCTTCCAGCAGTTGGAGTTGTTGCAGGGGCAATCCCAGCAACAGACCCAGGTCCTGCAACGCCGGACCCCTGTGTAGGGATGTGTTCACAGCCTGAAGTCAGCTTTAGGGTGAGTGGGGTGTTCAGTGGTGACACAAGGCCGTCTGACGCTGCTCCAGAAAAAGAGGATTCCCCACTGGAGCAGTTTCATGATGACATTCTCTCTCACATGCTCTGCCTTCAACCAGGTGAAGACTATTGATGGTCGCCTTGATCGCGCCTTGAATCTCCACTCTCCCACCCATATTTTGCCATAATTAGGGAAAGACTTTTTGACACCTAGAAAGATGTTGTCTGCACCCAGTCGCTGGTGCCAAAGAGCCGCAGGGAACTAATTTTCCAGGAGGCTCATTTCCATCCCCATGGCCGGACATGTGGAATATGAAAAAACCCCTGCAGTCTCTCCCATTAATGGGGGTGCCATTCAAGATGAACAGCATTGGGATAAGTTGATAGACCCTCTATTATTTGCAGTCTGGGAGGTACCCCAAGCATCCATGGAGTTTCCCCCCTTTTGATGACTGTTTGGCTTCTGTGTGCACCCTTCAGCGGAGGCTTACAGCTGATCTTGTCATAAAGTAGTCCCAAGTCTATAATGGCGCCTGTGATTTCTTTTTATTACTTATTATTTTCACCTGCAGTCAGTCTGATCATTTAGCTCACCAAGCAGAACTGGGATCACTATTGAATGGAGTTGAGTCCATTCACTTACCATGTTTTACGCTAAGCTAAGGCTAAAGGAGCACAGCCGGGTGAGGAGAATGACTGGAATACCCAACAGTTACAAATGGTTGTTTCCCACTTATCTACCTCTGGGAAATATGTCAACAGACAACATTTCAATTTTGAGTGGAATATTCCTTTAACTTCAGGATTCTCTGATAAGATCATCTTGAGAAGCATTACGGTATCATTAGAATAGTCAGAAGGGGCTTTGCTGGTGAACGTTTTGCACAGTGCCATGTGAACGGGGCTTTAGGTGAAACTGGAGGATAAAACTTGACTTTGCTGTGAAAAGAAACATGAGTTCCAGAAGTTCTCTCCATCTCTATAAGACAACTCCAACATTCTGATTCTCGGATGATGCCGGTCTCTTCCCCTTTTCAAAATCCTTTCCTTTTGTCCTGGGACAAGAACGTATAATATGTGTATACATTGTATAATACGTGTGATCCTCATTTCTTCTTATTCAAACTAACCAAGTGAAGAATTGCTGTAACTGTTCTCGTTTGGCAGACTGCATGCTTCTAGGGTGTGCTGCTGCTTCCTGCTGTGTCTTTCAAGTTACCACGTCACGCCAAACATGGAGCCATATACCTTCTACGTTGCTAAACAGCTACCGTATTTTAAGCCGGTGCGTGCCTGTGGAGGGTTGACAACAGTTTACGTGTAAATAAAAACTTAATATTTTAAACCAACAGGAATACTTAAAACAAATGCTTTAAGGAAAAAGACAGTTTGTGAACCGGATAAACAGACTGGTAAAGACTTTTAATGTTTAGTATGTAGAACAAATACCTAAACAAGCTGATGACTCAGCAGAATAATGCTCTCCGGTGGCAGTGGGACTTTTTGATGCACCAAACTGGTTTCCTGTTCTGAGTGGTTTTTCCTGATGACGCCTGTAAACATCCCGACCTTCGCTCTGATCCGGATCTCTTCCTATTTAAGCTGGACATCATCCAGCCATCAGCAACAGATGCTCCTTTGCTGTCAAATGGCCTACAAAGCAAACTGCACTACTTTAATCCTGTGTGTAGCCAGCATTAAAAATTGGAT